GAGGGTCGAGAGGAGATTGGTCGGCGTCGCTGCTGCCATGCCGTCGCCACTGGTGGCGTGCACGGGCCGATGAGGTGGGGTAAGGGAACAGGGGATCGTCATCCTCAGGTTGGAGGCGGTGGCACTTACGTTTAGACTTCAGTCGGCACCCGCGACTCATGCGGTTACGAGATTCCTTCGTTTGGCAAATTACACGGGCGATCGAACGATCGATACGAGCGACCGGTCGTTGTTTCTTTAAATCGGTGTCTTTAAATTGGTAAGAAGGACATACCGACGCGATACTCGTTGATCGATCGACCTTGCGGTCTCTCTTATCAAGCTGGCTGAGTCGTCGTGTCGTATAATATAGATTGGTTTTAGAGAAGCAAGTCGTAGAGCCGCGTATACATACATACATGAGAAGTCAGACCGGCTGTTAGATACGCGCAAAAGGTCGCTGGTCTGGATGTGCGTCGTCGTCGCGGATACACGGATACTCGAGACGCCGCTTTATCAGCCGCGATTACACAAGTGCGATCCGTCGAATAAGAAATCCATAGCCGTGTTGCGATCTAGGATAACGTGTTTGGATTTGCTCACGCACGATCGACACTTCTAGAAATCTTACGCGTATTGTCTCGGAGAGTCGCGGCTATTCTCCCGAGCTAAATCGAACATGGACGAGTCGATGGAACGTTGATTTCGATAAATGGGCATCGATCGTGTTTCGATCGAAGACGTCGGTGACCATATATAATCGCAAAATCGAGGAACGTATAGGATCGACGAGCAACGAAACTGTCGAGACGAACGTCGGTCGACGAGGATGCTCGATCAAGGATTTCTGGATATCGAAACTGTCGATGTTAGTTAGTCAAAGAGGAATTTGAACCCGTGGAGACTGGGGCGCACAAGGAGATTCGTCGAACGCGACACCACGACGCACGAGACACGGTGTCGCGAATGTTTCGAAAGTTGTGATTTTTTCTTGCCGGTATAAACAGCGACCTCGTCGTATTCGTTCGTCGTAACCGTTTCCCCTCTCTGAAATGAAACTGTGACGCAGCCCTCTCTCTTTTCCACGCGCTTCGCATTCCCGGTCGTTTCCACTTCTTTTCGAGCGACCGCTCCGTTCGACACGTCCTGGACGACAGTTTTATCGGTCGTCGCAAGGCTATGCGTTCTCGAAAACCCGACCACCGAGCAACGACGTGTTTATCTACCTCGTATATACTACCAGGCCATTGGTTCGTCGCCGTTAAAGGGAAGCTCCTCGCTGCTGGTGTAACCGTGCACGCATACGGATCCAAGTTCCTATCGAAGAAAGTTCCAAAGCCATCGGCATCTATGTATATTGGAAAGTTATCGTGGTAATTACGGCTGTGCTGTGCGGTACGTGTACGTCGTGGTCCGGTCGTCGCTCGTAGCGCCGTACGCCTCGTTCTCGTGCTTCGGACCTTAACCGTCGTCGTAGTACCGACTCCGAGCGCGGAGCAAGAGGGTACTGTCCCGACTGCGGCACAAGGGAACGCGAATCTCGCTATCGTCCTGATCGGAAATTCACGGCTGTGACGAGGAGGCATCGCCGACCCGATCTCCGATTATAGAGAGTAGAAAATTATCGGGCAGCATCGCGAATGGTCGTAGAAACTGTCGCTTGAATGTACCGAAAGGGAAGAGGAACGTCCGTACGTCGATCGCGTGTATCGGTGCGTGTGTATCCGTGTGCTCGTTATTTTTCCTTTTTCTCTTTTTCGTTGGCGCGCGTGTTGTACGCAGCGGAGAGCAGCGTGCGCGAGAACGCGTGTGATCGTCGGGAACATGGGAGTTCTGTTGGTTTCGGATGGCACAGCGGCGGTTCAACCTCGTATGAATTTGAACGCGGTCAAAGCTGCGGGAGCGCAGCGTGCGATCGACATCGCTAACGAGACGAATAACAATGTAAACGGACTGAGAGATGCGAATGGTCTGATGCCGACGCAGGTCGTCGGTATAATCGACGTGGTCGTCAACGACGAGCCGGTACGCAGCTGGATGCCGCCCCCGCCCAAGAAAAAATGGATACGACATTATCTGCTCGGTGAGCCAAACTTTTACCCCTCTACACTCCCATTTCTCGTCTGCCTTTCGCTCTCGAATCGAACGCCTTGGATTTTCAGTCGCTCCACCGATCGTTCTTTCTTTAGAGTAAAGTTTCACCGCGTTCAAGTTGGATAATTCGACATCGAGCGAACGTCCGAACCGTTGACGATCGTAGCTCACCTTGGTGAGATTTATTCCGTGCGACCTCTTAATTAATCCAAGTTACGATTACCGGAGATCATCGGGCGAATAACGCGATCGTCGAAGATTACGCGAATTCATCGCGACGAAAGTTTCCAAATACGTATCAAAAGGAATTAGCTTATCCGAGAAACGAATAATTATGTTAAAGTCGAGCAGTTTTTGTCGAGCAGTTGCACTTGCTGGCTACTTCTTTCTTTATTTGCGGTACAGCGGTTTGTAACTATACGCGGGAAGGTTGAGGGGGATATTTTCACGCACGAACCGCACGATGATCACGATACATTTATTCGAAAGTCGAGAAGACGCGATAAAGTCGCGATTCGCCGATAAAATGCGTTTCGCGCGTTTATTATCGATGTATCGCTCTTTGTAGTTAGAAAACGTCGTATCGATAACGAATAGAAAGAGCGGCGGTACTCGCGATTAACGCGATTAGGAGCGTATTTCAAGGTTGGTTAAGGGGTAGCTCGACGTTTGTCCCGTGTTTCCTCGCTTACGAACGAACGGACGCGATAGAAGAGGCTCGTTGAGAAACGATCCGTAACGGGCAATAATCGTGACCTTGTATCGTTCCGCATATTTCACGCTATATCTGGCTATTGTTCTTTCGTCGAATATTTTGTTTTCTTTCGAACGAATGAAATCGAAATGCAAATTTCCGCTTACTTTTGCTGCGAAATTCTTTGCACCGTTGTGTCCGCCGGTCTTTCTGCTAAGACGGCTGGAACAAGAACAGGTAAGGCGTATGTATTCGGCATTCTTTCTTTGTAGTTGCATTCTCGATCACCGTGTATATCGGGCCGATACGAGCATCGAAACACAGCTCTAGGTAATTGTAATTAATCGTAGATAAACTGGTTTCGGTGGTACAATAAACGTGTACGAGAGATTACTAAGTTTATTAATCTCGCTTTTACGAAGTTGTAAAATATCGGAAATGTAATTGCTTAATCTTCGTGTACGCGGTACGTACATCCATCGATCGAAACAGAGAAGAGGAAAGAGTAAATTCTATAGAAAAAGACAGCGGTGATCTTTGATACGGCTACGTACACCGTATCGTTCGATTTTATTAAAGCGATTGAACAATTGGCGACCCGAGCAACGTGCACGCGCGACTCGCCTGCTTTATCAAATTACGTCATACCGGTTCGATGCATATTCGATGCACGCTGTTTAGCAAAAATGAATCGTTAGATATGTCCCTCGTACCACATAGTTGTAAATGTCGCCTTCGAGTGCTGCAAAATATCTCAAGTTTTTCCAGTTACGATTGATTCGATCGTACCAATTACGTTGTACGCAACGTATACTTTACGTGCGGTTAATTGCATTCGATCTATAGACATCGAATTATAGATAATATGGTCGTATTAACGATATTCGAACTTTTCATAAGCCGAATCGATCGATTCCGTTTTTCTTTAATTTCTCAATTTCCTAAGAACGAAAGATTAATGTTCAGTTTTCAAGATAGTTTATCGCAAGAGGATGACAGAAATAACGATAAAATCTATGGCAAACTTGAAAAGCGATATTCGCAACGTCGTCGCTGCACAGCGAATCTTTACGCATTTATGAGAAATTTGAAAGCGAAAAATTGTAGAAAATGCGCGCAATATGGAAAACTGTGTAAAATATCGAAGATGTACGTAGCTCTGTTTTCACAATGCCTTTTCGTAATCCGAGATCTACTTTGCGCAAACTCTAGGAATGCGCGTGAAAATCCGCCATCTAGTCGCCGCTTTTCTCTACTTTTTGATTTAAGCGGTCGGCGAATGTGGCTTGCGAAGTTCTTATTTATCGATGACGTTATCGGTAGCAGACTCCATACGACAAAGGACGGTACATTTTCGATCGCCAATTCGATTCACGAGTTCGATTCGCAAAATTGCCACGGGCTGGCTTCGTTTCTAATTTTAAAGGCAAGTCGGTTTGGCGTGACATCAAGGCAATTATATATACGCGCGCATTCAGCACCCTGTGAACTGCACTGCCCCAAAGCCCCCGCGATCCCACCGATTTCCTATTTCATCTTGCGCGCGAATACACGCTGCTCCGGTCGTTATCTCGCTGGCACGTGGTCGCTCGCGACTCCGTATCGCGACCGTGACACTGCACTTAACCATCGACTAGCAGTCGTAACGATTCCCGGCGGTTAGTTT